AATTTTATATTTTTAATCAATAATAATTTATAAAAAATTTGGTACTGTCGACATCACGTCAGGTTATAGAAATCTGTCAACTATCTCCACTCGATTTTAAACTTTTTTTTGTGGGCAGAGTTTAAAATTAACTGGAGTAATTTGGCAAATTATGGTAACCAGAATTGCAGCCTTGTTATGTACCCATATACCAAAAGTATAGTTAAAAAAAAGTATAGTGTTTAAATTTTAATATTTTTATTGTCTTATTATATTTAATATCTTTTGTACGGTATTAAAATTTTATTATTTATAGTATCAACTGAAAAAATAGTTGTTGCTAAAGGCATAAACGTAACACCTGAAAAGATTGCTTAAAAATATTTTGTAACTATTATCCAATCTTTGGTTTCGCACAAAACGAAAAGCACTGTTGCGGAAGACGTTAATTTACACTCCTGTTACTCGCAATTTGTTTTATATATAATAAACGTCAGCGTAATCATCTTACGTACTTATCTATACAAATAAAAAAAGAATACAGAATTCTAGAAGCACTGGACCGATTTATCTACTTATTTTTTAATGGTTGTACCTACTATTACTCATTCGGTCATTAATTGTTACCATATATATTTTTACTGTAATAATAGTATTTTATAAAAGTTGTTTTATAGGTCTATTTGGAATATAACTTTTGATATTTTTTTTTGGAAAAACAGTCTAATTTTTTAATTATATTTACTGGAAATTGATAGGTCGACTTGTTACATAATAAGCAAAAAAAACGACTTTTTCTATTCTTATTATTTATATCTTATCTTATATTCTTCATATACTTACAACCCTTTAGGTCCCCTACGGAATTAAAGAGCCCTACTTGATATTCTGCCCTTCCAGGAATAACAGGAGCCTTTGGTGAGATAAAATCCGTCTAGAACTCGCTTATTATTAATACAATATTTTTATCTTACCAGTAATTGTTTATAAGTTTACTTACTGCGTGGTCAATAAACGTCTTTCTTATTAAATTGACAGCCTTACAAACTACTTACTATAGAAGGCAGAATTAATAAGAATTTTACGTATTGTTAGAAATCATGTATAAGGATTGATTGTAAAAAATTGCAACAAAGTCTTTGGCAGTTCTTGCGATTATTGCAACAAATGTTATTAAGTTGTTACAATACATTGCTCTCTATTGCACTATTGTCACATGGTACTTTTTCAAAGTATTGCACATCATAATTAATCAATATGGCGGATAATATAACTTTTCTTATGAGCCCATTAAGTAGATCTTTAATTGATATAAATATATTTCGTCCAGTCTCACTACGTTTTTGTATTATAAATAATTTGGTAACTTTCCGACATTTTTGATTATTGTTGTCATTATTTCAGCAAATTTATAAAAATATTGTTTATGAATTATCTACTATTCAATCGCATGAAAGATTTATTTTATAACATGTAAATTTACACAATTTACTTGGAGTGCCAGTGTGTATGTCATTGGTCTTTAAAAATACTGGTACAATCAGCTGGGCTTGGACCACGTTAAAACTTTAAATGAAGGCCATTCGCAAAAACTAATTGATGAGGTTTTGAAGCTCAATAGAATGAAATTCCGTGCGATTGACCGGATAATGCAAATTAAGCAGACACCAAACTCACATTAAAATAAGTGAAACCAACCTTGCTGATATTGTAAACGGGAACGTGATATACCTAAAATCTTTTGTGTGAATGTGGACCATTAATTCGCAAATGAACTGTATACGACACAAAATCAGCCCAGAAGATAAAAAAGCTGTAAAAGTCAGAAACATTATAGACGCTTTAGAAGTTATAAAGCTACTATAATTCAGTAACTACAGTAACCCCTTCATTACAACTTATGATGATAATATTTTTATTAAAATATGCTTAAAAATCTACTAGACCCAGGCATTCTGAGATGGGACTCAAACCTACGACCTTAGGTACCCAGGACCTAACAGGACTGACGAACTTTTCAAGCACTTGTTACTTTTCAATACTAGTGAGTGTATTTCATCAATGTTGAGGCAATACACCCAAACTATACGAAATTTAATCTTTCGATTAAGATGAATTTTTTTTTATAATTATTATATTTAATTCCTTTTTCATTCATAATGCTATACTGAAAAATGTTCTTAATGCAACAATGTTTATAAACATTTTTAAGCATTTTTCAGTATAGCATTGTGAATGGAAAATTTTTCAAATATAATAATTTATGTAATCTTAAAATAACTCTGAAACGTAATCATAGAAAATGGATTTTAGTTGGTTTCCTTCAAGGTATTGTGAGTAATTAAAAAAATGTTTGATCTACTTAGACATAGACTTACTCAATATCTGTCAACTTTAATGGGTAGGTATTGAGAACATACAGACATAATGAGTACTCTGTTATTTGTTTTTTACATTTTTTTTCAATGCCATTAGCATTTTTGCTGTAGTTACAAAATCAAATTGATATGGGAAACTTTATTTGTATTGTAGCTAATTGTACCATAAATAAGTTGACTAGTAGTTAGATAGTCCTAAAAGGATTATGGATTTTTAAGAGTTTAAGTGGATGATTTAACCCAAAGATATTTTATTGGTAGACTGGCTTAATTAATTTGCGGGACAACAAACATTGAAAGTATTAATTTAAACTAGGCAACTAAAATATTTATTATAGCATATGGCGGGTAAGCTTTGCTCGAATTTAAAATATTTCATACCCAAATTATAAATAATAATACAAGTACACTTAGAGCCCATTAGGAAGTAGAGCAAATGCAAAATTTCAATAATTAAGTTGCGCAGGTGCTTCTAATAGGGACTGATTGCTGCTTTTAAGTTTTTTGCTTAGCATCTTGAGACTAACGGTTTATTGACGTAATAGTATACTGCATCGTTCCGTTCTTTAGTGCATAAGAAATTCAAGATTTTTTTGTTTTAACCTTTTTTTCATTGACTAACATTGAATACAGACAACTATTAGGTTGGCAACAAGTTTGGCACTGAAAACGGAAAAGGGTTTTGAGATGAGAAAATATAATCATTATAAATAATGTTTATAATTTTATTGCAGACTAGGTTAAATTTTATATAAAAAGAACATTTAAGATAGAATTTAATTCCGGTGTTCGATCTAAGTATGTATCTATTGTAGATTTGTAAATATAGTTTGGGAGTGATTAACTTATAAGTGGTAAGTAGTGTGACTTTAAGTGTAGCTATATGTAGAGTATAGGATAATAAATTTATCCGCCATCAAAGGTACCTTCGTCTGATCTCTGTTCGTTTATAAGGTGTATTACCACTACTAAAGAAGTCTATTGCTATCTTAAGCTACGGTAGTGTCTTTGTAGTTACAAAAATTTAATCCCAATTTCTTCCATAAAATATTTATCATTGTTCATTCAGTTTTGCGTTAATGTATTTCACTGTACTGTAGCAATTGGTCATCCCCTAGGGATGGTTCCGTAAGCTTAGACCATAGGATGAAACATATTATTGCGTCGCAGTAGTATTTTATTACATTTAAAAGCTATAAACTTTATACCAAAGTAAAATATTAAATCATCTATTGCGCAAGGAAATGATGCACTGTGAATTTCTTTTCGTGGAATATATGCCTTGTAATGTCCGTTAGAAGGTCGAATTTTGGCCGAAGCTCAAGCATAGAGTACTGAATATGCAGTATCATTAATAAATTCAGTGTTTCACACTGAATGTGTACGTCGTAAATAAAGAATTCACTCTCGCAACACTGGATTAAAGAATTTGTTGATATAAAACTGTATTACATAGTAGTGTTTCGACATTGGCCGGCATAACCAACGGTACTAGTTGCTCCGTTAGATTAAGTTCGAGCACGCAGAGATTGCGGCCGTTTTCATTTGTTACGTTACAATTACGAGAAATAGGGCTCCGTGTGGTAATGATAGTCATTTATCCACTAATCTTGAACTTGAATAACACTATATTTTTTGTGTGTGGACTGTTGCGATATTATAATGCTTACCGTGACTTTGTGTAGACTAAATATTTGGAAATAAGTTTTTATTTTAATAAAGAAGCTTAATACTCCGTGACATCTTTTTTACATATTTCAACACTTTAACCCCATGGCTGCCTATGGATTCTCAAAAGTATTACAAGTTGTAAATTACAGTTGCTAAACACTTTTTGCTCGACCATCTAAAAATAAATAGTAGTATAACTTTTTCATTGAAATTGAATCAATGTCCGATTTGGAGTTCATTGCTCACGAGGATTTAATTTAAATTTTTAACGTCTTTTTATCTTACTTCAGTACAAAACTAGTGAAGTCAGTCAATGTATATTGAACTATCCATGTCGATAACATCGCATTCCCCTAAGTAAAAAAAAAAAAATACAAAACGCATCATATTTCAGTGTTGTAAATGTATTTTTTAAATAAATCAGTCATGTTCTTAAAATCAAGTTCAAATGCAGGTTACCATTAGCAATAATATTAAAACAAAACCAAAAGTAGCAGTTTTAGTGAACAGTTGTTATTTATGATTATTAAAGAGAGCGATAATAATTCGGAGAGAGCAGTTTGTGTTGAATATCGGTGCACTTATGAGTACGAAATCTCATTCATGGCAAGTTACGCGCTCAGGGGGTCAATTCTACTATATCAATTTTGTTTAAATCGAATCGAAAACGGATCGAAACCGACGGAAACTACAGTTTTTAATGGTAAAAGTGTCATACGATACAATTCCAGTTCTATTTTAGCTGGAATTGTATCGTATGTCACTTAGTAGAATAGGAAAACCTTTAAAAACCGTAGTTTCGTTCGGTTTCGATCCGTTTTCGATTCGATTTAAATAACATTTATTTAGTAGAATTGGCCCCATGAAATGTTACCAACGAATAAAATAAAGCGATTACGGTTTACGTTATGTATCGAGCAGGGTTTTTATTTTATCAAAGTGCTACTAACGCATTTGTGAACCAATTCAAATATCTTCATGACGATATAAATGTAAAAATGTTACAATGATACGTAACTGATACAATAAAATTCTAATAGTTCCGCCTGTGAATGGCAAGTTAATAATAAAAAATTAAAAGAAACATATGTTACACATAACTGATTGAAAATAAAAGTAGATTAAACTAAAGACAGTAACACAAAAGGTGGCCTTAAAGCTCAGGTAGGGAGTAATACCTACATGGCGACCCTAGACTAAAGGAAATGATATTAAATAAGGAAATTAACTATGGGTTAGGGCATTAGAAGAAACAAAACATGAGAAAATTGAATAAAATGCAAATAAATAATTAAAAAAAAACAATAGGAATTTCAGGAGGAATAGTCAAACTTGAGGAAATGTTCCTTTATCTATCTATTAAATGAGTTCTGTGACTGCGCGCGTATTTGTTTTATTATAGCCCTTTGAAGTTTTCTCTTCATTGTGTAATATAACTAATGCAGCTCTTTGAATTTATAACTTTGATGCCACCAATTATAGTCTCACTATGCTATGTAGCATTTAAAATGTAGAAATTGAATTATAAGTCAAACTTTCAATGTCTCCAGTAAAGACTGATTTTAAAATTAAACCTATTTAATGAAGATAGTGAATTTATGAAGTGACATGAAAGTACGTTTAAGTTAAATGCTGTGAAAAAAGTCAAGTTAATGATGATGTGAACAGTGCCTGAATTATAAAAATCTAATGTGCGCACCCGTTATGGCGAAGTGGGTTTGGTTGGCCGCGCTGTTATGCGGCTCGCAAGCTGCTGTACTTCCACCACCGTGGGCGGACGTGCGACGGAATCCGTGCGCTGCGCACCCTAAAGGATGGCTCATGCTGTACTGGCCTGCAGATGGAAAATGCTACACTATTTATAAGGTAAGAATACGTGTATCTTTGACATCAAAATATCTGGCCTTAAAATGCCTAAACCAAATTTGTGCTACTCTCACAGAAACTGCACTAGTCTATAAAAGTTAAAAAAATTTTCGCGGCTTGTGTTGCGGTTTTACCTTTTTTGTAAATAATTTTAAAATGTATCGACATTCTTTAATAGATTCACTCATTTTTACAGTCAAAAAAACAAATGAAAATCACACATTTTCCTAATTTGAATTCGGAGTTAACTCTTTTAAAATTTAAACTTTTTAATGATACTGAAAACAGTAAAATACAAATGGTATAGCCAGAAAGATTTTATTACAAAATTATGCATAATATATGCGATAAGATTTCTTCTCCAACCTAATATAATAAAAAAATACAAGCTTTTATTTAATTAGCTGCGTTTGTTAGGTCAAATTTTGCAAGTTAATGTAACTTGGATGACAAAACAATTACCTATGTAACTTGGATGACAAAACAATATTAATATATGTAGAATAGACTCAGGTCTATTCTATATTAATATTGTTAAGATCAACACAAGATCAGTCTTATGATGGCGCTGGAAGGTAGCCATAGGAATTCGGACATCGGTCCATTAGTTTCGGAAAAGATTTGATTATTACAACGAATAGTTATAATTATCAAATCTTTTCCCTTTTCAAATCAATATTGAAATCAAATGTGAATTGTCAATAAATCAGTAGTCAATTGAATATGCCAAGTTTGGTAATTTTCCGGTTCATAGGATCGGTGACCAACAATTTACCATCTCGAGCTCCTCTGCGCTTTGGATGGCACGATTAGGCCCTCTTGTGTACTCCGCTTACGGTTGCATGTCACACGTAAACAAATACGCTACGTGAGCAAAGACGCGCTCGCTTGTTTTTTAATCACAGAATAAAACAAGTGCAGTTATAAAAAATGTGATAAAAAGAATATATCAAAATCTATTTTTGTATATATTTTTTTTTAGAGTTACGATGAAATATTCTAGTCGTAAAATCGATGCAAAAAACCAATCCAGTTATTGAAATTTATATTTCTGTTTTTCGCAAGTAATAGATAACTTGTTTGATTTTTATTAAAAAAAAAAATATTTGGTATGTATTAACATAACCTTACAATAAAATTGGTTTAATAAGTGGTCATTTCGTACAACCTCGTTAACACCCACCATCCCATTAGGTCCACGAGGTGGGTCATGGCTCATAGCCCATTCTCCCTATTCGATTCCATCCACAGGGAAGGCCTGTGTTCCACCGGTAGGAACATTAACAGACTGGTAATTATGAAGATGAAGAAGTTTAAATTTATTTGTTTATAAATTGATATAGGGAAATCTATTTGGTATCTATTTAAGGTAATAGAGTTTTACGTTGGTGTGACTATTGTAAAATACACGGTTACATCTGTATTTTCTTTGACAAATGTGTAGATACGAGTTATTAAATCATAATGAATGTATTTCAAACATTCTAATTAAGTAACGGTTTGGTAATAGTAAATGTAAAATGTGATATGTTGTGAAATGTGCATTGTTGTGGGAATACGTAGCGAGTGGGTCAGTGTGTATGTCATAACAAGATCGTTCGGTCATGGTCTTTCGTGTATTTAATGCAACTCCGATCCGGTAAAACTGGATTCGTTAATGCATTACGATTTTCGATCGCGGCTGTTGTTAACGTCACTATTTTGGATCGATTGCTGCATGCATATTAGAATTTCTAAACGTTCCTAACTTCTTTAACCTTGATTATTACTACTTTTATGACGTCATACATTACTAGGTACGTAATGCCATTTTCCCTAGTTTTGACCCCTTTACATAAGAAGAGACCCTTTCTAACTATTTAATATTTACGTGAAAATTTAAGAATAAAAAATAATTTTGTCCGTAGATCGACCTCTTAATCATCCTTAGTTTTAACTAGATGACGCCTAATTTACATTTTTACTTCTTATTAAGTTATTTCATTAGATATTTCTACCTTATTTTCATCTATTACGGCCTTCCGTGTGATAGCAGTCGCTGCTAAAATCCATATAATGTTGGCAACACTATCTGCAATATAGGAAATGTTTCAAAGTGTGTTTATACTTATTTCTTCGTAAGTGTATCGAGAGTGCATAGGAATCAGGACGGTATTGCACCACTACCTCCCATCTTCGCCTTAGCAGTACTTTCTCTAACGTCTGCCGCTTCGCTGTGGGATACTATTCAATTTGTTAGTGTTATCTGAATAATCTTAACGAGATACTGTCATAATTTATAAGTAATACAGTTGCCTTAGATATTCTACATGACACTAAAAAAACAAAATAACCAAGAAATAAAAATGGAGTAAGTCTCATTTTTTATACGAAACTGGCTATTTTCCCGACTTTGACCGAGTGTATTACAGCCTATGTCATCCGCATATGATGTAGCTTCCCGTAATAGCTTCTCGTCAGAGTATTTTCCTCCCTCCCTCGGCTGTCCGATGGTGCTAAAAAGAAATTTTCGTAAATTGTAGGTTTTTAAAACAAAAAACAAATGTTGTACAAGTCGAAAAAAAAAACATAAAATATTACGGAATATAAATAATAAAGTTTGTGGCAATACTCGTACGAATTAATATGATATGAGTTTCTTCATTGTTGGCTAACTGTAGAATGGTTACTGTATCAAATCATCGATAAATCACGGCACTATAGCTCTTGATGACTTGTACTAATTCAAATGTCTATATAACGTCGACAAGACAAGGCCTAACGAACCGATTGAGTAACACAATATAATTGCATACGATTCGAATCAATACGAGCGACTGGTCAATTGATATTATCAATAACAATTTACACAGATCGGTTTTCATTTATGTAGTGTATTCTTTTGATCTCGTTTGAGAAACGAACTACTATATATATAGTCTTACCATAAACATGTTACATATCGCACACCTAGATCTAAACTAAGACAACTCAAAAAACTAATGTAGAGGTCTGACAATACATTTGTTTACGTGGCAGGAACGCGACCACTGTTGATTCAACAAAAGAAAGCTAAAGTCATCTAGCGGCTCATCCCCGAACCTTTATTGAATCTGTTATGTTGGATAGATGCGTATGATCACCGAGAATTTGAATATTGTACAAAGTCAAAACTCACTCAAATTTTTGAGTTGTCTCAGTTTAGATCTAGGTGTGCGATATATTTTTTTTTATATAACATTTATCACTACTACAGTGTGTTCGTTTAATTTTTAAATAGCAAAGAGTTTTTGTTGCTTTCTGAACGCTGCCCTTCCGATCTGGATTCGATGAGAGATATCTTTCTCGAAGTTGGGATTGCCTAGCTGGACTATCTGTCCTAGGTATACATAATGGTCGACAAATTTAAGAGTAGTGGTCCCAACTCAATTTTAGAAAAGAGGTTACTATTTTGGAGTCAATAAAAATTGTGTTTTAAATGTGGTTCTAGTTGAGTGAAGTCTTATTGGTGGAAATATGTTGTTCCAACATTTGGTCGTTTGGTAACGGAAGGATCCAGTATAAGCAACAGTCCTATGGAAATGAAATGTTAAAGGAGATCTAGCTGATTTTGGTTTTTGTGAAATTTTGAAAAGCGTAACTTATTATACAGGTGTCTGGGACTTTAAAATCGAACGTGAGGATAGCAAGGTGTAGTTTTCTTAGAGACTCCATATTGAGCAACACAGAACAGTTTTATAAAATCATATATGGGATCTATTGGTATATTGAAAGAGAATCGGCAACATGAATTCTGTATACGCTGGATCAATTTCCTAGCCCTATGCAATAGTCGGGGTCTGTACTAGGGCACCATAACTGAGTCTAGACAAAACTAGAGATTCGCGGAGGGTGATACGCGTTTTTCTGACAATTAATTGTTAAGACTAGTTACGTTAGTTATTCTTATAATTGTGCACCTGACCACGTATTCTTCTCCACATTACCTTAAGGTTGACTGGCAGTAAATGCCGCAGGCATTAAGTCCGCCTATGTACATTTGTGCATAACATTTGTGAAGTTAGGTTGTGTAGATAAATTATGTTCTGTTTATTAAATAATTAGTTGTATACTTGAGAATGAGGACGACAGTAATTACATTTCCAGTTGCAAAAGCATAGTTTATAATATCTTATTCTTATCTGTACATCAAAAAAGTGTGATGCATTTATGAAAGTCGGAAATCTCGTAGACATAATATTTTGAAACTGGGTGGGGTTGCCTCTCACGGTGCTTTGTGAATGGTTGACAGCTGCATTATTATGTAGGTATTAAATTTGAACGTAATGTTACCAGAACCAGCTAGATGTGTGCTTCTCGTATTGGCTTTATCTGTTTGTACGTTTACACAGTTCAGAGTCGATTTCTGTGAAATTTCTGGTTCAATTAAGCTGATTTAAGTATTGGTGTAGTTCGAAACTGAGCTAATTTCTTTTGAAAATAATTTACAACAGACAATAATTGAATGAATAAATATATGCTTTATTCCATCTATTGAATTATTTCAATAGAAACATATAAAGTTAGGAACGCAAACGCAAAAGGTCTTATTGCAGGTAGCAATCTCTACTAGGCTACCAAAATCATTAAGGATGATTCTAAGAAATCTATGTTTTTTTTTAAATTAAAAATGTGATTATAAGGATTTGCATTTGATCGATTTTTTAAACTTTCCAAATTCTATTATTTCTGAGTATTTTTGACAGAACCATTAATGAGCAACCCTAGACGTATCTGACGGAAACGAGCGGCGTTCGCGTACATTCCGGCATCGTAATAGGTTCATTATGTCGACGAATTGTACGTAACCTTGGGTCGGGTCAGCGCTGCATTGTTACATAAACAAACAATATTACGCTATCCGAATGAGGATAGACGACGGACAAATGACGATAAAGAGGAACTGTAGACAGTACCATCTATGAAGATGCGCCGTTCTATTCTTTCTAAAGTCTTGAGTAGCTTTTTTATACGTCAAAATAAGATTCTATAACCATCGACTAATAGCTGTACTCATGTGCAAGTCCGCAATAGGCTATGATTTCGGAACATACCCTTTGCACCGCGATATATAATAGGACTTTTCTTTGCGAAAAGCACCATCATAAACAGTGCTATCCTTTAAATTTGAAGAGAGCGTCGAACTATCGCAGCATTAGAAGTTCAATCAAATAAGTAAAACGTATCTGATATTTCATTTGTATTTTTATATTCATAATCGTGATAATCCGAAAGTATTTTTTTTTGTAAATCACTGATAGTAAGAAATTACCCTTTTTAGTGTTCTGTGCAATAAAAAAGTAGTAAGGGTTGCTTTTATTTGCTTTATCTGCTAATTCGTTTGTTATGTAAAGACATTAAAAAAAAATCTTACTTATCTGTAATACCGTGAACTTATGTCGATGTCTGGGCATTAATTTTTCATAAACAAAGTTAAGTGGATTTTCGATAAAAGGGCTCTTCGATGTTTTTATAGTTTTACAAGTCCAGTAATAAAATTTTAATATAAATAGAGAACAAACAAAAGTGCTCAAATATGGATCGATTTTAGTTGTATCATGTTTCTTAGGTCGCTGTTTTAAATATGTAATGGATGAAACTGTGATATTAATTTTACTTTGTCCTAATAGTAATAATAATGCATCTTGTTTCGTACATAATAAGTCTCTCTTTCGAATACTACACTAGCACATGGCAGTCACGTATTCATTTCCCGGTAACATAGTCAGGTTCACGGGTCACGTTGCGTCACAACTCGCGACAGATATTATAATAGCCGCCATTCTATGGATGATACCTCAAGTTGTTACAGCAAGTTGATTATAATTTCCCATAATTGTAAGGTCTTTGAGAATTTTGGTTAGAAATAGGACGTACAAGAAGTTTAGGCATTAAGATTAAGGTTTAGTCAGATATATTTTTTCATAAATTCTGTAATTTATAACATGTGAAAATAAAATAAAAGTTCTCAAAACAAGATAAGTATTTCGTATGTAAGTTATAAAATAATACGGGTACCTTCATACATACTTTTCAACAAGTCACTCGAGTGTGGGGCATGTTTTTTATTTGTCGGAAAAAGCCTTTGTTACTACGCCCATACATAAGTCAGGGGATAAATTTATTGAACGCTTTATAACGTCTAGAATTTCATCTCGACGTAAATGTCATCAAGTTGAAACCCATTTAAAATAGTTCATGCACGCATAGACTGCCATCTCTTGTCTTTAATAAATATTAATATAAAAAAAAATCTACTCATAAATCTATAGAAATAATACCTCATTTTATGATACCATTACAAGTATGTGACGCATGTATAATGATCTTGTAGTCGAGCATTCTTCGACTACTTACTTAGACAAGTCTAAGGCATCCTGCGCTCTTAGAAGTATGTGTTTGTTTGTTTTCTTGCTGTGTTTATAAACTGTATTTTTGTAAAATCTCCTACACCTACATGGACGGTCATTGTCTTTGTATATTTGGTCCATACTATGCTCACTTGTTCAAGAGTTACGGTATGGATTATTACATTTGTGAGCTATTAAGTTATTGAATAAATAAATGTATACAGTTACAAACATACAAACTTACTTATTATATGTTGAGAAATAATAATCGTAAGAAGTATCTTGTTTATACCCTACATAAGGTGTGAAATGTCATTGTAAATACATGCTTAATGCATTTTGATAACAATATTTAAAGATAAAAGGTTCATGAGCATCCTTCACTATAATTTCAGAGAGCATACGACCACGATTATGAACCCGTAAGATCAGTATAGTATCAAGTCTTTGCATATGTCTGTGTTTTTATGGGTCTATCAAAAATAAATACTACTTTAAGATATACTGTCCACTACTTGTTTTAGTTTTAACTTTATGTAGTAAGAGAACTTAAGAAAAGATACTTCTAGACCTCCCAATAGTCATTTTCATCTTCAATATGACTTATTCCATCGTCAGTCGAGTTATACGGCTAGCGGGAGACAACAAAATTTCTTTTCATTTCCAGTTAAACAAAGGTGATTTATGACCGTGGAATAGAATTATATAAGTGTATATGAATTATAGATACTTTCAAAGTAATTACTTATTACGTGACTCGGTTTTGTCTATTCTGTATAGAGATTAGGGTCAATGGCAGTTAAGTTTCATTGTTTTGTAAGTTACATGATTTGGTTGTTTCGTATACAATATCATCGTGTGTTTATTTTAAATAAAAGGAGACTGTTTTATATGTATTTATTAGAATAAGTTAATAGTTAAAAGATTTATGTATTATAATTTAGGTAATATTATGTATGTATTAGAATAATACATAATATAATCGGAATCTGATAATACATAGAGTTTTTTTCTTTGGAAATATAGAACTTATGTATAGTTTTATACACAACATATTATACAGGAGAAAATGTTAATCAATGCACAAAGTTCAATATTGTATTTTTACCGTAACTCACAGACATTGTTTTTTCCTCTATTTACCCACTAACATTGATAATGACTAAAAACGTATCTGTTAATAAGATGTTAAATAATGATTCAGTAATACACGGAGGTTAATGACCGATTTTTGGCGATATACCCTTGGTTTATAATTATAAATTTAATACCAAGAAATGTTAAAACATTAAATAACAACAATACATATATTTTCTTGGTAAATATGGTGTATTCAATGGATCGTTAATGAACGATACTTGCTAAATTTCAATCCATTACTTCAGTAGTTTGAGATGATATCAGTCAGTTGGTCAGTTAGTTAGTCGGTCACTTTTCCTTTTTACGTATGTATATGCCGAGGACGATGTAAACTGCATATTAAAAAATAAATAATTTAAAGAAAAACAGAATTCTAAACTACTGGGCTTGTATCTTTCTTTTTAGTTTTTATTTAAGTTAATTTGTTCATTTAATTTTTAAAATTTGTTTATACGCAGTCGGGTTTTTGTTTTTCTTTAAATTATTTATCTTTATTTTATACTTTTTAGTTACGATTCGTTGACTTCGTTATAAGATGGTAAATTTCGCAATCTAGTCATTTCATTGAGGGAGATAATATCGTTTGTTAAGCAACTTTAAATCGTTATATATCCTAAACTATTGTTTAAAATAAAAAATGATAAAAGGAATCTAAAGATGATTTTAAAATACCTATTCAACGACTATTCATCCCACTTGACATAGTTCATCGATTTTGTTGTCGCCGTGGTGAATTTTGATTACTGTCATGTCTTTAGTGATGATTGCAAGGTTAAGACGAATCGATTGACGTAAGAATCATCAAAATCGGCCTACGCATTTGGTCTTTTAAACGTCACATAGAAACAAACATACATACATACATAGACTGATAAACACATTACCCTCCTTTGCGTCGCGCATTCGGGTAAAAAGCTCGTATTCTACATTAGTTATAATAAAAATTTTGTTGAAAAATGGTAGTAAAATGTAGAAATAGCGCTATGATCGAAGAAGAAAAACTTGATATGATTAATGTTGGTATCACATCTAATATTGAATGACTAGATGTAGGTAACAAAACTATCAAACGTAATGTAATATTCTGAAATGGCAACGTATTTTCTATATTTGCATGCTTTGCGTAATAAACAGGGACCTCGTTAAGATCTGCCGCCCGGAGTCCACCAGCTGTCATGGATTATTATGAAAGAAATCTGTGTTATGAGCTGTCAGTAGTCACCTATACTTGACTGATACTTAAATTACTTCCTTCTTATGTACAGTTTTAAGTTAGATAGTCGTATAACATGCCGCTAATTATAGTTAGTAATTTTTATGTCACGAATGCCATAGTTAGTCGAATGAGGATTCTAATTACATTCAAACGATAATAAATCATGGCTATTGTTAGTTACAACAATGTATTTTGTTTCAGTTATCTATCGTGTTTAACAATTAAAAGATTACATTGAAATTCCTGAATGAGTAATTTACCTACTTTAGTTGATTATTTTAATAACTATTATCATAGAATTATAGGATGACTCGTGTGTCAGTCTGTCTTATATAACTGATTGTCTCAGAAAGTCAAAGTAAAAATATCTTAATTTAACTTTAATAAACTTATTCAAAGTATTTTTGAATTGTCCAACATTTTTTACGTTACCACTTGTTAGGATGTCTTCTCACTGATAAGTAAATTGTTCTGTGTAAGTAAATAATATCATAATTCCCAAAAGATACCGAAAATGCTGGGTATAAATTTTTGAATAATGAAAATACAAAGTGTATTATTTTTATTCAAATAATAGATTATAGATTACTGGGAAATCTATTCGAAGCCGGTGGTTTTTAAAATGCAATAATTATATGGAACCCTCTGCGCGTGGGTCTAACTTGTTCGTGAATGCTTTGCTTATTAATTATGTGATTAGGTGACTTAGTGATCTTTGTATGTGAAAAGACATGCGTTTATTTTGACGTTTTTTTTTTCAATTATGCCTCGGATTTCTAATAATATATTTACAACAAAGTTGCTGATTTGTCAAGCCGTTCTGTTTTTGCTTAGCAACATATTTACACAGTCCACCATTTGCATACTTTTATTATACCTAAAATTAAACATTAAATTAACAAACAGATATTTACCTATAACTTTTATTCATACTTATAATGAATTCGAGATGTGGGTCTCAATAAACCTTTTATAAATTCTCTTTTTAATTTATTTATTAAATTTAAATTTAGCGAGCGGTTTTTCTTTTTTACTACAAGAAATGACATGAATCTGTTTTAATTCCAGAAAGGACATCCGTGCCCCGATACCCAGGAGCTGAGTCCTGGTCGCTGGGGTGGCAGGACAGTTGCTGAATGCAAATGCCCTCCTGGCAGCGCACAGTTACCTCACACCACTAATTGCCATAAGCTTTTTGAGCGAGGTCCTTGCAGACCAGGGGAATACTTCGCGCCAGTGGAGGAATCCTTCAACATGAGAGGGTAGGTAAGCATCTCAACGTTTAAGGTAAAAGATGAAAGAGTTCCTAACTTTCCTGCTTTAAAAAAAAAAACTCTGTTAGTCTTTAAAAATAGCACTTCGCTTAAAGATTTTTTGTTTTTAGGTCATATTATAAGTTAAAATGTCAAAGACGTCTTAATATATTTTCTCAATGTATGGGTTAATATGAAACTCCATTTGGTAACATTTACAAGTTTGTATTACAAAATAAATTTCAAACATTTTTTTAAGTATATGGTAAGGTGTATTTTAAGCATAAACTGCCATTTGTTTACTATGCTGGTGTTCTTGAAAATAAATTAGCAAACTCTGAGTTACTGTGTATGGTAGATAATACTAGACTCAGTGGGTCAAGGCAAAAGTTGCTAATAATGAAGATTCACTCAATTTGTAGTTTATAAACTGTCTGATTGCGTAATGCGGGATTATCCCAACTGTTCTGTATTCCAGTGAACGTCAAGGTATGTGCGTGAGACCGCAGCAATGTGCGGACGAGACCTTGATATATTGGCCAGCGGATGGCCGTTGTTACTACAAGATGACACAGGGCCCGTGCTATCCTGGTGCTATTCTCGATGTGGGAGATGACGGCCTGGCCAATTGCACGGTATGTCATTTCTAAGGGAGTTCAAGACCCGTTTATGTATTTGCAAATACCGTTTCGTTTCTGTAATTTGGAGCTACTGTATCTTTTCACAATTACAATGCCTAAAATTCTCATGTTATTTTTCGCATTTTAATGAAAGAAAATAGATCTCGTTTTGGGTACCTGATGTTGGTTATTTTTTAACGTTTCAATATATTTGTGCTCGCTTGATCCCTTGGGAACTGTTTATTTGAATGTCATTTCATACGATTATGACACGGATATAATAGGGATGACGACTAATTTTTGTTTATTTGTCCGTGAGGTAGAGCATAAAAAAATGTTAAACATGTATTTTTTTCGTAGTCATAAAATTACGACTTTACATGGAGTTGAAATTTCGCATGACGTCAAGTTATGGTACGTTTTCTACTCAACTGTGACATAGCGAACCCCCACTCCTCAACTTTAATGACTGTTATCTAAGCTATTTCTTGTTAAATTGAAGTAAAAAAAAATACGTATCTAAGTTTTTTCTATTATCTGACTGACGGGCTAAATAAAATTGCATTTTTTACCCAGTCGTCATCCCTATTACAATGATAAATAGAATAGTAAACAAAGGTTACTATGGCAACGTTTTAATTCCCCATACAAACTTGCACTCCCATTTTCATATCTTTAGTTGCTGTTTTTCGGGATAAGATTAACACACGGTTTCTGTTTAAGCCATTTTGAACGGCCATTAAAAACGTTTTCATTAATCCTATTAATATTATAAATGTGAAAGTTTCTTTGTTTGGATGTTTAGATGTTTGGATGTTTGGATGTTTGGATGTTTGGATGTTTGGATGTTTGGATGTTTGGATGTTTGTACGTCAATCACGCCGAAACTAATGAACGGATTTTGATGAAATTGGGTATGCAGATAGAGTATTACCTGACTTAGATAATAGGATACTTTTTATCCCACCAAAAGGTTCCCTAGGGATAAAAGTACCTCCATCGGCGCCTATTTTTGTGAACGCTGCCTAAACGGTATGAGATATACTAATGCTTTCTAAAGAAAAGTTGGAGAGCCTTAAATTATCTATAAAAAAGTCCGCGATGTCATATATCTATATGCAAGGGTTTTGCCACAAAAATAAAAAGAAGTTTATATAAGTCTATTAAAATTTTTCGTCCGTCTTTAAACGTTTATTTGAGTAGGTGATATTAAATCCTTATCGAAATAAATATGTTTATCGTCGAAGAAATTTAATATACATGAAAATTGTCTTTTACACCATGTAGATTGGATAAATAGTTTAGATTTTAATACGATATTTTTAAGAAAATAAAACAACGTATATTGCCGATTTTCTAAACACTATTTTATGTACATGTATGTATTAAGATAAAACAGCATTTTTAATGTAATCGATAATATTAAGCCCAACAGATGGCATTGCCTGTATTCTACATTGCGATGTTGAATTACCGCAACTACTTGGATATAGATGACTGTGACTCTGCGGTGCGATTCAATAATCTCTTCGTTGTAAGTGATTTCTGCGTTGTCAATTGGTTCTATTTGTCGATTTGGCTATTCTAACGGACTTGACTTGACATTTTGTGTGATTTTATCTGAAATAACTTCTATATATTCTATCTATTTAGGAATTCTCTAACTTTACATATTTATATTAAGATCTGTATCTAGCTTTCTAAATCTACTTCTCAATTAACTCTAGGGATGTGAGATTAATAGAAAATAATCGATTTAATAAAAATCGATTTTCTTTTATAAATTATAAATCGATTTATCATTAATCGATTTTAATGAAAATAAATAATCGATTTTTGCGAAAAAAACGATTTTTTTTTTCTATTATTTAAAATCCTACATGCTTTGCATATTCCAATAATAAACCTAAAAGATTCATATTAATAATTAATCAGATAAAAAAAAAATAATATGAATAAAAAAATTGACAATTCAAAACTAAAAATCAAAGCAAATGTTCTTTTAAACTTTCAAGGTAAGGAATAATAAAACCAAATATCATTATTGATAGAAATTCTCAGTATCTTTAAACGTTATATAATAATAAAAATGAGCACCCCAACAAAATGACAACCTTATTGGCGCAAAAAATTAAATATCGTCATGAATGTAAATGTTTAGTTTTCGATAAATATCAAACATCGATGTTGGACTTACGATGATGATATCGATGTCAACATCGATGTTTTTCTAATGTCGATCATATATACCTACATACCTACAGATGGCGCCGTTTTTATATAATCAACTTTTAAGTAATAATGCTTCGAGTTTTTTCATTTGGCGCATAGATGATGCTATTTATGAAAATCGATTTAACCACGCAATTTATTTAATCGATTTGTTAAAAATCGATTAATATGACATGGAAAATCGATTATAAAAAATCGATTATATTAAAATAATAATCGATTATAATAAAAATCGATTATTTTTTAACATCCCTGATTAACTCTTTGTTTATTTCTTGGGTCTACCTCTGAATCTTGCAAGTCAAGAAAACCCAACGTGCAACATTAGCAAAAGCAGCGACCGCGTTGCCCTTTTGCAACAAAGTAAATTAATCGTGTAGGACGAGTGCACAATGTCACACAAGCGCGTGGTTGAGGCTTTGATCCGGAGCCTGCAGGACATCCGCACAATGAGACGCTGGTGGGAGGTGCTGTTGTTGTACTCACTGGAGATTTTCGGCAAACTCTTCCAGTTATCGAAAAGGATACACCGGCAGATGAAATGAACGCGTGTCTCAAGGCTTCGTCACTTTGGTCCAACGTAGAAAAACTCCACCTTACTCGGAATATGCGTGCACAACCTTACAATGATACAGAGTCAGGTGCGTTTGCGAGTAAGCTGCTCGAGATCGGAGATGGTAGGCTGAAAACCGATCCGGACGGCAAAATCATATTCACCAATGAATTTTGTGCTACCGAGGAAGAACTTCTCGCCGATGTATTTCCCGATTTAAAAAACAAATTAAATAATGAGGAGTGGTTGTGTGAGAAAGCAGTACTGTCGCTAAAAAATGAATTAGTGAATAAAATAAACAACAAGGTATTAGATGTAGTAGATGGCGCATCGAGGGTGTACACGTCCATAGACACGGTGATGACAAGCGATGACAGTACTGCGTATCCCGTGGAGTTTCTCATCTCATTAGAATTGACCTGCGTAATGCCCCACAAGCTGGAGCTGAAGGTTGGCGTCCCAGTTGATGCGTAATCTTGACGCTCCGCGATTGTGCAACGGCACAAGATTACAAATCAGCGAATTGGGAAAAAACATTCTGCAAGCAACAAAACTTACGGGAACAGCTAAAGGCGAGAGCGTGTTGATTCCCCGCATACCCATTATACCCTACAATTTACCATTCCAGTTCAAAACGCTGCAGTTCCCATTGAAATTGGCATTTGCTATGACCTTCAATATGTCCCAGGGACAAACCCTAAAAGTGGCCGGCATACATTTGGGCATTCCCTGCTTTACCCATGGCCAGCTCTATGTGGCATGTTCTCGAGTATCAAGTGCAAGGAACCTGTATGTACTTGCTGCAAATAATAGATCATACAACATCGTATATAGATCAATATTATAAGATAGTCATAATTCATGTTGTATGATTTATTATTATCAAAATCTGTTCAGTAGTTGCAGCGTGATTGACTAGCAAACATGAAATTGTTAATGGAAAAAAAATAGAAGTTAGTTAGGTCAGATTTACTTTACTCTGAATATACCTACAGAATTATTTAAATTATTTTTTATCTCACTAAACATATCCTTAGGAACCACGCGGGCGAAGCCGCTGGCGAAAGCTAGTGATTTATAATTTTAAAACTAGGACTTTTTGCCATACGAAACGTAAAGAACTTAAGTTATTGAAAATAATCAGTTTTGGTTTTGTATTTTTCTCAATTCAGAAACCGGCCGATAGTCTATGTCCACCGCACATGATGTAGCTCCCCGTAGGTGAAAGAATTTTTAAAATCGGTCCAGTAGTATCAGAGCCTATTTGTTACAAACAAACAATCAAATCTTTGCTCTATAATGTCAGTATAGATGTTTTGTTATACGATATTATTGCACTCTTTTTAACTATTAATTATGGTAATAGCATAATTTCATATAATAACAATACAGTGAATTATAAAAAAACCATTTAGATAACACTGCTCAACAATTATCTACTTCATATTACTTTCCAAGAATATTTTTGTCACGTTTGATATATTTTGGTGTACTCATTTCAAAAATAACACTGATATTTTTGTAGCAGCTCTAGTTTATAAGTTTCCCGCATTTTAGGTGACTGTGCATATTCAGTGAGTTTCAACTAATGTGTTACTGATTTTTTAAAACATTCTGTAAATGATCCAGACAGTTTTTGTGTTATTTGTTGTTTGCAAAGTATCGTAAATTGATCATGGAATTCGTTGAATCTGCGTATTTTACCTACTTTGGAGTGAATATTCACAATCTAGAGAAACTATGTGTGCCAAATACTATGTGCCAAAATTGTGTTGTCTCTTTGCGACAATGGTCAGAAAAGGTCCTGCACTTTTATGTTAACATTACGGGTATACACTCTGCAAACCGGGATGAATGGACCCGGAGTTGTCTGCAGCTCAGAGACCTCTTTTTTTTATTTATTTATTTACTCAAGGCACGTCAACATCACAAATACAAAAATAATTCAGTAAACCTTTTAAATGACACTTATCTAGCATTTATGACAGTTACAGACATGCACAGCATTTGTAACAAGATATTCCATATAACCTCTTATACACTCTGATCAATTACTAGAGCCAGTACTATCGACATCATCAACAAGATTGGTATTATGAAGCAATTTGTCAAGGTCATTAATAAAGATAGCTGACTAGAAATATAATGGAATTTCTTTTAATGTTAAGCAGTGTAATAAATATCTGTATCAAGAAAATAAGAAAAGAAGCTATTATATTGTTATCACTAAATTCAAAGGTAGAATGTAAATATCGATCGAGGTTTAATGAGAGTTATCATAGAAAAATATTGAGTACGTACTAACGATTCGTCTCAGTCACGAATAGCTGCAATTTACATATAATAAGTATGCAAATAAGATGACACAATCCTTTCAATAGTCTTAATCATACTTTGGCCAATTACTTCTTAATTAACACCATTGTTGTAGAGTAAAATATAATTCCAACACGTACTGTCCCTGATATAGTTTCCTTTTGGATTACCCTCATTAAAAAAGCTCGGTAATTAAAAAATAACAACCTTTAATATAAGACGGTCGTAAAAAAATGGTCATGATACGTTTGCAGTTACTTATGTAACTTTTTGCTATACAGTTTTTAGACAATTACTCAAATGTTTTTATACTCTCTTTCAGTGTTCGATAGGCGGGCCGCATCATTGGTCAGCGGATGGTGGTTGCTACGCGCACTACACGCGTGGTCCGTGCGAGAAGGGCCTGTTGTTCTTGCCCGGAGCAAGATGTGGGTGTGAAAAGTATCTGCCGCAGTACCACGAAGGAACAGGTGCTTGCTATGAACTCGGTAAGTGAATCGACATGTGTTACAAAAGTAATGTTTTAACATGTCCCTGTTCTTTTCCCTATCTTTTATTAAAGTTTTGTCTTTCTCCTTCTTTTATTTTAAAATCTACATTAAACCTTATGTTAACTTTTGTGGTTAGCGTAGACCTAATTTTTGATTTTGATAGTAAGTATATAATGTTACTTAATATCAAGTATTTCTTTTCCAGATACTCTTGGACCTTGTCCCAAAGGGCACACGTTTTCGGTGACTGATGTGACGTCACGAGGGTCCAAAGCTGAATGCAAATGCAAGTCGTTTCACGCGCGAGCTTCAGACGGGGCCTGCTATAGATTATACACGAGAGGGCCTTGTGCCCATGATGAGATGATAGCGAGAGGTGGACGATGCACAAAGGTATAATGGGATTAAATATCTTTTCAGATAATTCTTATAGATTTTAAGCCGATTATGAAACTGCTAAAATATTAAAATTATTGTTATTATATCACGCATATATTATATATCAGGTATGTAATTTTTTTTGTCCGGAATTTCTGCGGAAGATTCTGTAAATTCATTAAAAACATTTTAAATTTTCCGGGATAATCAACGACCAGATGATTTGATAAATGCATGTGTCTTAGTTCATTAATCATGTTATTTGGTAAGTTTTTAACCCTTCTTTTCTCGTTATGGTACTTAGCAAAGTTTTAGATTATTATGTCCTCCGAACCCCTTAAGATACTTTCTGTATTTCTTGATTCTCTCTTTTCCTTTAATTGCTTTCATATCCTTCTTTCTTTATTCTGAAACGTCATTTTCTCTTTCTAAATCTACTGTCTTCTCTGGTTACAAATCAACGCTGCGTAAGGAGGAGTCTGTATTCCAAACTATCAGGAGCCTGATGCTTTTCCTGTGGTGCATCTCAAAGTCTAAAAGGGATTATCTACCACCTCAAAGGTGTATTAAAACAAAGAAAAATAATTTGGTGTTATAAATAGAAGAGTTTGCAGTGTATGCTTGGTCTGCAGGTGCCGTGTGCCCGCGGGCGACTGTACGTGCCGGAACGCGGGCGGTGCTACCGGCCGGGCAGCGGCGAGGCGTGCCCCGCGGGGGAGGTGGTGGCGTTCGACCTGGACGCCAGGCCCGCGCTCGACGGACTCAGCCATAACGGAGTGTGTGCGTGTGGACGTGGCGTGTGCACCAAGAAGGAGGTACACTATGTACTCTTCATCAACACATTAATGTCCCCTACTGCTGGGGCACAGGCTATTCCTATGTATGAAAAACATAGAAACACGGTTTATTCTTAATGGTAATACCCAATGAGTAGCTCGGTGGCGTGGTGAGTAAGCGCTGCAGTACGCGATCGATTTTGTTGGCATCTTTCCCAAGGATGAGCGACCAAAAATTATTATCTCGAGCTACTCCGTGCTTCAGAAGGCGTTAAGCCGTTGGTCTCGGCTGCATTGCCCATCCCCCTTAACCATCCATAAGGAAGGCCTGTACCCTTGTAGTGGGGGCGTGAATTACGCGGACCCAGTGCGAATAGCTTAATGTGGCTTCCGTTAACGAAATGGCAATTAAACCACTTCTTGGGATAAAATGTAGGCGGCTTCAAAGGCCCAGTTTCTAAAATTTCTTCATGTAAACATACAAAAATGGAAATATTTCACCATTATGATATGCATTCTATTTACGTAACCTTGATAATGAGCAAAAAGTTTCATTAGGTATTTTCCATTGTCTCATAGGCCATGACAAAATGTGAAGCAATTTTAGAAAAATCAGATTTTAATCTGCGTGAATAAGCAGACGGTCAAATATTTTCTTAATTACAAATTCTGTTAAATTTCCTACCTCCAGGTTGAAGCATGCAGTTCCCGTCGATGGACAGCGCCATACAATGGCACCTGTCATATTCTGTACACGCAAGGTCCGTGCCCTGAAGGATCATGGCTGGTCAGGGACAGGGATTACAAAGTTCAGTGCCAGCGTATGCCCGAGAAGACGCCCTTAGATTGTAGAGAAGAAGTTAAAATGAATACCGAGGCTAGCTGACAAATAATGGTTTTAGGGTGAACGTGCATATGTCTCCACACGCGTACCGGTCGCATGGCACGCAACGGATTCTATTAAAAATTCCTATGACGTATTCAGCATACTTCTGAAGTAAAAACTGACACTCGTATTTATCATAGAAGTATCTATCAAAAATGCGCCTGCAGTGGACATGTCACATCGACAAATCCGTGCAATGCGGCGTTGCGTGCATGCTGAAACAATGGTCGAGCACCTTTATATTCATTAGCCAACAGCTGTATTTCAAACTTAAATAATAACTTCCATTCGGAATGCATGAAAATATATTGTAGGAGTATTTAAGGACTTCCGTCAATTTAATATACCTAGTTGAGTATGTGAAAGTATATTTATAAATTAAAAATTTCATAAGAAGAATTTTGATATAAGTGTTATTTAATACAGATAGTGTATTTTCGATAGACACTATTTCGATCCCATTTTGATACTGTTTGACAGTTTTACGATTATTTATAATTACAAATTGTTTTAACATTACAAATTGAATAGAATAAACTCCTAATGTTATTATTAAAAAAGATTATACTATGGTTATTTCTGTAAATCCTGCCATTTTTGGTTCTCATACTCAGACTTTGTTGTGTTTGATTTATTTAATGAAAACCATATTTGGATTATGTCTATTATTATAAATACAAGATCCTTGGGGTCATTATGAAAATAAAGACATTTCAAATTTCCGGTCTATCAACAATAATAATTAATTATAAACACGTTAGTAGAGTAAAATAGATTACTTGTTACAGAAGTCATAAGTGATTTCCGGAATTTTCTTGTTTTTCAAATTACCCCAAAGTATTTTTTTAGATTTAGTAAATGATCTCCACAGTGTCGATATAGTTAAATATGTAATTATGTATGTTAAGAGAGCGAATATAAGGAATAAAACAAAGTAAATTGTACATCTTGATTTATTTCACGATGTTTTTTTATTTCTCAATCTCTTTACAAAGTAATGTTTGAATAGTATCTCATATTTTATACAACACTGAATTGCTGTTTGAAATAATCGAATAAAAATAACTGTCGTCCTGATACTCAATTCTTAAAACACAATTGATAAAACAATTTCGTTGTAAATCAGTGATTTTGCTATGGTGTCCAAGTTTTATTTATCAATGGGAAAAATCAGAGTCAAATAAATAGAAAAAAAAAGTCAAGAATATAAATATCAATACATTGAAGACGTTCAGATATGTATTGTAATAAAAAAATATTAATAACTTATCCTTTATATCTAAAGTCACTATCATAATGTCATCATCAAGTATAAAAATATCAAACATGTGCACTAAAGCGATTACATTAAGTGATGTTTTCTTATATATAAATTCCTTAACTATTTACAATACTAAATTTAATAATTCTAACAAGTCTTTATTTGGTATCGTTCTATATTATTTGTCCTTTAGTTTTGTTCCTGATTTACCTGAAACAGAACAAAAATATAATATATTATATTTCATTATTACAATGGTGTCATGGTAACATATTGTTTATATTATAACTTAAGCGAGTCACCGCTTAACTTCTCTAGGATAACTTGTCAACGAATTCGACATTTAAGCGATATTAAGGCGAAGATTGAACGATGCATATGTATTTGACAGCAGTTTTTTAAAATGTAGTGATTTATCCACCAAAGACACAGTGGCGTAACTATACCGTTTGAGGCCCGTGGTAAATTCATCGGATATTCTTTTCTTTTTACTAATTGGGTAATAATAAATGTCAGGGGTAAGAAGTATCTCCTCTGACCGGGGGCCCCTTCCAGCTGGGGGCCCGTGGCATTTTGTCGACTTGCCAACCCTGTAGTTACGCCACTGCAAAGACATGCCAAAGTAGAAAATAAAACTAACTATCCTCATAATATGTTAAGATGTTATATCCTATGTCTAGAGATTTAGGTTGTTGCACCCTCGATGGAGGTAAAGCAACTATTTTAAATACTAGCTGTTATCCAGCGACTTCGTCCCCGTAAATAGGGATGTCGACAGGGTAAAAAAAAAATCTATTTAGTCCGTCAGTCAGATAATCGAAAAATATTAGATACGTATTTTTTTATTATTTCAATTTAACAAGAAATAGTTTAGATAATAAGCATTAAAGTTGAATAGTGGGGGCTCGTTACTGCATAGTTTTGTAGAACATGTACCAAAGCGTGACGTGACGTTTTAACTCTATGTATCGTCGTAATTTTATGATAACCAAAAAAATTAAAATCTACAATCTACCAGATGGACAAACAAACAAGAATTAGACGTCATCCCCCTTTTTTATTGTTGCACGACAAATTGACTGTAATATACCTGGTGGGAAGTGACATTACAGTCTAATAATATTCGCAGCTGTCAGATGTCGAAGCTACACCCGGTAGCCACCGCTGTTTTGCCGGCCTATTAAAGAGCTTTTTCACACCTCTTTTGAAGCACCCAAAGTTATACTTAATTGGAAATAGGTGGGATGGGAGATCTTCCACTATCCTTATAATAACCAACCGATTATGTAGCTTGCTATAGGTGAAAAAGTGTTTGAAATCGGTCCAGTATATTCAGAGCCTATTCAATTCAAAATAACAAATATTTCATTTTTGTGGTATTAGTATAGATAATATTTTATATTTCTCTTACCGATGCCTTATAACATCTTCCTATAAAATCCACGGGAATAACACTTATTGACGTTTATGCGAGAAATACGAGATGCTAAAAACGAAAAGGCTTTACAGTTGAGTCACTACAAAAAGCCATATTTGACATCGTCTTTCTTAAGATTTTCGATTGATATATCGAATCCGTATGGTTTTTTTTAGAAATATGAATCAGATGAATGTATTTTGCAAAAATAATATCAGTTTTATGATTATTACCAATATATTATTTAATTTGATTGATTATTAAGAAACAATGTGTCGATATTGTAACAAGAACAGCAGAAGAAAATCACAGAAAATATATGTAAAATACACAAATAAGTTATTAATAAGCGTAATTCAAAAACAAAGAGTGGGCATAAATTCAAAGCACCTATATATTTCATTATATACATGAAACAGAAGGACAAAGATGTCGAATTGCTGTTTAATGAATTACTCGCAAACTTCAAATCACGATTATTATCAATTTTCCCTATAAAAATAATTACAATAAAAAAATGGAAAAATTTGTTAAATTTAGGGGTAACTCTGATGGATCTAAAGAGAAAATTGTTATTTTATAATTTTTAATCATTCAAAACTAGTTGAAAGTAAATGGTCGTTGGTGAGAGCACCCCCTTAAATGTATCCAAGTACTTTGAACACCATTATCAAGTCAATCGTATATGAGTTTTTTAAAGATTTCGATGGTGCAAGAGGTTAGAAATGCAACCCTCTTAACGTTATCTATTCAAACAATATTTAAGTGTTTATTTGTTCATGTCTTCATTAATAATTATAAAATCAACTTCCAAGCAGATCAAGCAATCTTTCTATTTGTTGGATACGTCCCTACTGTTTAAAAAGACAAAGGGTCTACGGACAACATCGTAACGGCGCTTAGATCATTTAGAATGAAATAGATTTATTATATTTAGAAAGGTTTATTAGTCAAAGTAAACCATAAAAATGATTTATTTTTATATTATAACATTAATATATTTTAATAACAAAGAAATTTGCAATAGTTCCGTAGCTGTAACTTTGAAAAATAAATAATATGTTTACTACATTACAAGGTTAGTTTGAAGAATCATACATGTCAAAAGTAGCCTCTTATAATGACCCATCTGTAGTTGAAAATAAGTGTCACTGACAAATGTCTTTTGACACAGGCATGAGACACTATTTATTAATTTTCTTTTTTATTTATTATGCTCTATATCTGTATTGACTAAATGAATTTGAATTTGAAAACAAAATAATGAGACAAACAGTTTCACAAAAAATATATTTTTCGTAATCTCAAATGAAACTTACCGAAATATATTCTGTGAACTTTGTTGAATGGCATCTCGATGGCAACAGTGGTGAATATTGATATCACCAGAATAGTGAGCATCTCTGGCAGGTATACCTGAAAGAAATATGTTCTACATAAATATCTTATAAGAAACGTTAAATTGAATTTAATGATATATTTAAACTACAAGATATCCCACTTCAGTATGTAATGGTTACTTCAAATAGACAAAATAATGTTACATACCAGTAGAAGTGGTGAGTAGTACTCGGCGTTCCTCTGTATTCCCACATTGTAGAAGAATATAGGGAACTGTGTCAGGTAGACGCTGTATGCTATCTTGTTGAAGAACTTAAACACTCTAGATTCTACAAATGATGTGCCGATACCTAGAATGTGATTGAACTAGTTTTAGTAAGTAATCTTAATCATGAGTTTACTAATGTTTTCACTGCTGGGTTGGTGACAGACCATTCTGATAGAATTACAATGAGAGAACCGGACGAGTATGGATTGATGCAGTTGGGACTAATGGATAAAATTTACATTGGTCATTGAGAAAATGCTTTAAATGTTAGGTGCTAAAAACCCTAAAAGTTTTAATTAATTAATAAGAAAACATATATCTTACCTGCATAATCATTGCTTATAGCCCAATGACTTAAGCACATGAAGACACCCCACAGTATGGGGGAGAAGGCGGCGAACATTGCGGCTGGGCCATGCTCGTACGTGTATCCTTCTAGGCCCATTTTGTAGGGGCTAATTATTGTGAAGGCAGCGAGTATGAAGCAGACGCCCCATAAAAGTCTCACTTGAGTCTAGAATAAATATACAAAAACAACGTTAAGGTAAACGTGTGTAATGACCCCCGCTACAATACCAAATATAAAATTTCTACTGAAAATACCTTAAATTTTTAATACGTGGGAAAAGTTCCTAATCATCATCATCAGCCTTCTAAAAATGGGGCACAGGCTTTCCTTGGAAACGGATTGAGTGGCTGTTAATGACTACAGATACAGCCAGGACCAACAGTTTAACGTGCTTTGTGAAGCATGGAGCAGTTCAAGATAGTAAATGTTCGATCACCCATTCTATGACTGGCCTTTGGTTTACTTAACTATTCTAACCACCAGGTACTGCGATCGACCTCGGCAGATATTTATTGAAATTGATTTTAAGTACATAATATAATCATAAAATCGTCAACATTTTGTTTTTCAGAAGCCATGAGGCAGACTTCATACGCTGTAATATGTATGTTAAGTCCTTTCTAAGGGCATGCTAGATATGTTATTATTTGCTTAACAGGGGTCTAAATATTTTCTTATTTCTTTGTTACAAAGAATTAACTTTTGAAATAACAATTTTGAAAATTCAACGATTGTCCAACACTGAAATTTGTAAAAAAATACAAACTCGGCGCATATAGAACCTCTTTTCGATTTTGAATTCAGTTAAAAATGGGTATTTAGTATGCACCTACAGAGGTGGACGCTGTAAGCTAATCAACCGAGCGAGGACACTAAGTAATCAACGAACGGTGTTGCATATTAAGCAAAACGTACAGGTGGAAATGAATTTCCAATGGGTTCTTCTTAAGGTAGCGAAAAGTCTAAGCGCTAGAGTTAGTATTACTTGGAAAATTAGTTGCAATTTACAAACTGAACTTTACATATTATGTGCTAATTGCGAACTGACTTTAAGCTTTTAATTAGTCCCATAGGATGAGGCTTATGACAACTAATTTTGATACTTATTCTCCAACAAATTAGAATACTTTCAGTTTGCTTTTTTTCCAGAAATCTATTCATTTGCATCGACGAAAACATCATAGGCCAAATAAATTGGGTCTGCTGGTTTTTTGACCTGACCTTAGGATCAGACAAGTCCTAATAAGACTCTACTCGTAGTTTTACATATACTCATCACATTACGTTAAATAGATAATCAGTAAAATAGTATTTACGATGTTTCTAATTTTAGTTACACATAGTAGTCCGTTTCTCAAAATAATATATTTAAACTATCCATTGATTTCTTACATTGTTCAGATTAAAGTGAAGTTTATTTGGTTTCATGAAGTACGCCATCATAACTCCTATGAGATAAATAGTTGCTCGATGCGTAGGCAATATGTAAGAGTATTTCGCTGCATCAAGAAGCTTTTGTACTCTGAAATAGAAGAAAAACAATTCCATGAACTATAATTTTCATACGAAATATAATAAATCTTGTCTACTTATGTTATTCAACATCGGTGATATTTACATTACAATATTAAAGTTAATGTGCGTATAATATGTATTATTTGAATTGCTATTATTGCATCAAGTGTCAATATTTAATTATAGTTGAACTATGAGACCTATAAAATATTATGTCCTTAATGGATATCAATATTACCAACTACACGTTTTCCCGTGTCCTATTCCCACGTCAATAATAGCCTACGTAACCCGCTTATGACGTAGCTTCCCTTAGGTGAAATATTTTCGGCTCAGTAGAACAAACAAGGTATAATATATAACAAACAAATACGCAATCATATCTTTCCTATTTTATAATGTAGATGAAAACTTCTTGTCCCTGTTTTTGTCCAGATTATTGAAGTTCTGAATGAATGTATTGCTCTTAGTCTGAGTTACTGATAGTCGTAGTAAATTTATTTTCAAAGGTCTCCTTAGCATAAATTCTTCAGCTGGCTTAATAACATGAAATTTAACATGAAGTTACAAATTTTGCTGTTTTGAATAAAGACCCTTTAATTTAGCTATAAATAATTCAGTAAGTAGTCTAGTCCAAGTCTAAGCTTTAGCTTATGTAGGTACTTAATTCTAGTTTTGATCTATTTGTTTGTTGCGACAGTTTAATCACTTGTTTGACTTACTAAATTACTATGAATACTTACGAGATACCGTAGTAGACGAACATGCTGATGTCATACCAGTGTATCGCTAAGTACCGTAGCAGGGTAGAGGCGACTGCCACTGACACCATCAGCGCTAGCCCCAGTCTTCTCCAGCGGGTCAGTATTATCATCAATGGTAACGTTGCAATGTATAACTGCATATCCATTCCGATCTGGTGTGTATGGGTTAAACACTAGAGAATAAAAAAGTTATTAAATATCTCAGTTATTAAACTTCGTATCTTTTGGAATTCATGAGGAAGAATAAATGCGTTAATTATCTACGGTGTTTCGCAATATATAAAAAACTGGGGTTCTAAAGCTTGATAAGTGGACGATATGTTTTCATTTTGATGTAATTATTCTTATTGAGATAATTTGATATATACCTTATAAGCGTTTGGACTTAACGGATTTTGAGAGCCAAAATTGCCTTAATTTAATTTGAGCATGGTATTTTTTTGATAAGTGTATTTATTTATTTAGGAATAAATTTTCACGAAAATACGAATATGTGTTATTAAAGTACTCAGAAAAGTAGACAAAGTTAAGCGATATGTTCGAAGTTATATAAGTTACGTGGGAAAACATTGCCGGTTGGCATTCTTCTGTGTAAATCAGAGTAGTAGGAAAATAGATCAAACACAAGTTCATTTATGTTATCTATGAAATTGTGCTCGATAATCACGAATCTTACAATACAATGAGAACGTTATTATTCTATTTGCATTTTTCACCTCAGATGCCCATCTCAGTGCCAGGAAACGGATTTTTAAGCATTTTTCATCAAGTTATATGCTATCAACTAAACCGAATTCAAAAACTAGTCCGGTTTTTAACTTGACGAGGAACTGCAGAGCGACAGCCCAACCCTTCCCCTTCCTTTCGTTGTTCTTTTTTTTTAATTTCTTTTATGTAAATATTTTGATATAAAATGTAGTTGTGTGTCGTAAATTATTGAATAAACTAATTATTTATCTATAACTCTAGCTACAACATGTTAGCAATGTTATAGTACGATTTCGTTTCATTTTACTACTTTAACATGTACTCAAATAATGATGATCGAATGATAAAGAATGACGAATATGGATTTGTTTCCAATTGAGTCATTTAGCTCAAATCATGTCATATGTTAAAATAGCAAAATGAAATGAAATATCGTTATAATATTAGGCCCACACAGAGTTAGGCGATCGTATCCCTGGTGTATATGAGAGGTGACTATTATTGCCTAATGTTAGAATTTTTCCTTACTTTTTATGCTAAATAATGACTGTGTTCAAAATTTGGAGTCTGTCAGTGACAAAGTTATGAATTTTTAACTTGCAATAATTCTTTAAGTTCTTGTTCAAATTTAATGTTATTTAGAAATGTGATTCGTTATGCTGCTCTCTTGGCCACTGAAATGTTAAGTTTATATTCCATAACGAAATTACAGGGGTCAAAATGGCCCGAATGGCTTCGAGAAAAGGATGATACGGCCGTGCCCTCTTTACTTTTCTGCTCGACTTGGCGGGTGCATTTCTGTGCCTCCAGATAGTAACCATAAAACAATGCAGTTCTAAAGAAACATACCGAATAACTGATATGAGTGAGATACTGGTATGAACATAATAATTTTAGTCTCACCTGGGATTATATTATTTTAATCCAAGCCGAGTGTTTTTTTTTCTTATAAGTAGGGTTGACAGAAATATGAATGATCTATTTCACGTTTATATTATAGAATGCTTTCTATTTTGTTAATTTATTGTTACAAAGATTCAATTGTACAGAAGTCTTTAATTACCACAACTTTGAATAGCCATAAAAACAATTCTGGGCAGAATGCAGTAACAATATCGGTTACCCAAGTCCCAATCCCGTTAACAGGTTACACGAGTGCGATGATAAGAACGTGATTTTTTTCATTTTATTTATGAGGAACTCACCATTTCTTCAAATCCGAAGTAATTGTGTATGAACAGGAAGCTTCTCCACATGGTCTTTTCACAAACTCTGCCGTGCTCCTCTACCACGAGGTTCCACTGGGGGCCATTGTTGATGTCCGGCAGGATGTAAGTGCAGAACAACATCAAGCTCAAGAATAATGGGAACAGTCTGGAATATCACGTTAAGAAAAAAACAGCTTTTATTTAAAAGCTCTAAAAACCTTTTCAATTTTAACTACAATCTTATAACATCATTATACATATTGTTAAATTTTTAAAATATCAATTTAATTTAGTATTGATATATCTATTACCTCGCGTACTTAAAAATTTTGCTTTTAATTTTTTCTTATTATTCTCGGTAAGCCCTTTCATTCGCCTTGGATATTTTGCAATATTGGATTTAGAATAACGTCACATTCTTTTTCAAGTTACTCTTAACAAGTCCTTTCATTTGATACCCATATTGCATTAAAAATAACTATTCCGCCATATTGGATATATAATGACGTCACATACCTTGTCATGCATAGTCATCTAAACTTAACATGTATACAAAATTTCAGTTCAATCGGTTGAAGATATCTATTTCAAAATTGAGTCCAAAGACCTCCCCAACAAACATACATACATTGCAAGTTAAATAAAAGCTTTTAAAATATTACAAAATAGTCCTATGTTTATGCATTTTGACAATATATTACAAGTTTATATCCGTCACCCGCGTCGAGTATATAATTTTCAAAACCCTATTTAATTCTTTTAAATTCAGGCACCTATAAACGTCATTTAAATGAAAGCGGAATACAGCTTTGTTACCTTGAAAATTTATAAGAATTGAAAATGTGACAATCTGCGTTCATATTTTATATAAATGTATTAAAAATTACATTTCTAAAATAAAATATGCTGTCGGTAAACATAATTTTTACCTGAACCATCTAGCTACAAGTCTGTGCTTAACATCAATTACGCCCTTCTTATCAAGATCTTGCAGAAGATTGTTGGCGTTCAAGAATCCACTGATGTATAAAAAGCTGTCTGTGTATAAAATAGCTGATCGACCGACTACAGCCCAGGGCATTCCGAACACCTGAGATCAGAAAGTTAAAGTTATTAGCATTATTCTAACAATTAAATAACATTTAGCTATACATAGTTATTTCTAAATTATCAGCACCATAGCAGGACTAGAAATATCAAAAAGATCGTATAGGAATATCGTATTTAAACAACACATTATATTATTACTGTCGACAAGATTAATGAATTATACAGCTAACACCAAAAGTTTGAAGGATCCCCTTTCAATAGCGTTCATAAATTTGAGAAGTGCTTCAGCAACGAAAGCAGATTATCCTTCAAAGTATCAACAAAAGCGGCAAGCATTAAAATCAAAGGATTTGGTATAAAGTTACCACTTATAATGAATATTTTAGAGACATTGAAAATTTAAAGCAATTGAACTTTTAAATGCTTTTAATTATGCCCCCAAAATTCTTGATATTCAATCTGGACAACGTTATAATTAAATAGGTATTTATCAGTCTCTGAAGTATTAGTATTATATATTACGTAACGGAACTATGCATTTTCGCATTGAATAAATACTTGTAGCATTTTGCAGCTGCTGTATGTTCAGTAGAAGGGTTGGTGACCGCAAAACCTGTTCCATTCCTACACCTATCCGGTCTAAGTTAATCGTAATTCTAGTATCCTTGATTCCTTGTATTGAATTTGCATAATTATTAATTTAAATTTCACGAGGTTTTGAAAGAGTTAAGATACTCACCGCTGAATAACTAACTTTGTTGACATAGGGACTGTGAGCCATTGCCATTGACTTATGAGCTATGATCAGTGCAAATGCATTAACACCTCTAAAGGCGTCTACTCCTTTGACCCTGGTCGGTGAATCTGATAAATCAAATACTTTCTTCAAATTGCGTTTCAGAGAAAACGCGTTGAGTAGTTTTTCGAAATTCGTTGCTCCTTCTTTGCCATCGTCCAAAAGGGTTCCCATGCTTAGTAACAAGACGAGTCCGAGGAAAAATGTACTGTAATAAAGACAAAATATTGTTATTAGTAGTTTTTATCTCATCAGATTTCAATGAAAGTAAGAAATTTTTTTGGTATGATGATGATTATGAAATTGTAAAGTTTTTTAACCTTACATGGAAAGAGTCTTTCCGAAAGAGTATGGCCTTCTAAAGTTCTTCACGGAACACATGGTGTTGTGAACTTTCACAGAAATGCCGAGTTTTGAGAGTTTCAGAGATAGTTCCTCCTCTAGATCAAAACTGCTGCAAGAGCTGGGCATGCACACTCCCCACAATAAGCTCGAGTATCGGGGCACACGGTGACCCATCTAAAATAAATAAAAACGAAATTGAATTTTGGATCTTGTTTATACACATAAATATCCAATTAGAAAAAATAACTTTTTGGTTATTAGATTAATTTAGGTAGGTACATAGGTAGAGCTTCGCAATTTATATGTATGCGAATTATTTTTTATATTGATGATTTAATAAATTGCACGTGGTTAAAAAGTTAAAAGTTAATTTTTGCTAAATTATAATTATTTATAAATTTAAATCGGTAAATAAAAATATAACTTCCAATATTTATAGTCTGTCTCATGTCAAATGAACGTAACGTCATTCTTGGGTATATTGGTAGTAAAACTAACTAGGAAAAACGCGGGAAACATAAGTGAGAAATAATTTGCTAAACTTTTATAAATTTTATGATACGTTTTAATTATTTTTTTGAGTTAAAATTTATGTACTGCAGATTTTAAATATTTTTTTCCCCTGAAAAATCCTTTTGTTTACCCCATAAATGACGTCACGTCCTTCGAGTCGCCGTTTATGCGTTTTTTTTAAGCAATTAAATTTTAAACGTAGTTTTGGATACATAATGAGGTTTATTTACATAAAATAACATTTGTTTTGGAAATAAGCGCCCCTAATTATTAATTTTAAACAGTTGTTAGAAAGTAATCCGATCCCCTATTCCAAGATAAAAAAATATATATTATGGCAAGAGTGAACATTGTAATTAAAATAATAGTAATAAACTTATTCTGTACAAGAGTATAAGTAATCTTATTATATTCTATGTGACAACAGGATGACTTTAAAGTAATCCAAAATTATAATTGGATTTTTGTTAGTTTAGTATAAAGAATGGTACAAAATAGGTACCAATATAGTGTTTGTATAAAAACATATTTTTGGAACTCAAAGTCTAAATCCACGTTTTAAAATCTGCAATTATAAATATGCTAAAATAAATCAGCCTATAATTGAATTACTGTAACTTTGAAACGAATTTTCTATACAAACGTTTTTCATATTGAAGATATTCATTGAAATTAATCAAATGGTTTGTTTCTACTCAAAAGTATTTTTGACTTTTAATTTCTAGTATGAATAGATAGGAATTCCAACCATAAACAATGATAATATTCTTAATGAAAAATGTTTTAAAATCCACTTTGTCCCGCGTACTCTGAGATGGGATTCGATTCGTGAATGCGAAAATGATAAAATATAATGAAAAATGATAAGTATGAAATACACGGAAGAAATGTAGTATACAACTTTATATTATCTAGATCAGTAATTGGTTGGATTCATATTTTCTTATATTTATTACGTATTGTATTTTGCGCCACATTTAAATTTGTTGTTTACGTTTGAATTGTATTTCTACCGACAAAGGTCCAGGGCAACACCAAATCAGATTTCAAATGGGATTGTTTGCAAAGATAGCAAAGAATGCCTACTTTGTGCGTTTTCAGAAGACGGGTCTGTCTCGGTCGAGGGCTATTGTGTTGCACATTAACAATTGTGATTCAAAATCAGCTCAGAGACCAAATAAGTTGACATAGTAGTCGGTTCGCGAGTATCTTCGGAATATTAAACGGGCAGCCTTGAACACGCACGTCCACTATCCAGATGATATGACGTCAATATATACTAACGCTGCGGTTATTCCAAATACTGCAAATGGTGTTTATCTTTTATTCCTTATGTACGAAATTTACGAGTACCTTTGAGTATTTGTGGTTGGTGCGATGGTAGTTTTTGTCTGAATAAATATAGTAGCACATTGGTTTTAGATTAAAAGCTTTTTGGTGATTCGGAATTGAAAATACCTATATTATCTAACTATTTTACCTGAAGGTCTATTTATTCTTTTAAAAAGGTAGTTCTGAAATTGAAAATTATCCGAGTCGTGTACTTCCTGATCTCTATACTTGTCTAAAGTTTAAATTTTTCAGGCATTCTTGCACATTCTATGGAAGATACATTTATACTATATACTTTTTAAATTAAAATTTTAAAACTAAACTTTCCTTGGATCTCTGATCTTGTACAGACAATTTAAACGAGCCCAAACTCGACATGGTTGCGTTATTTAATTAAAAAATTCCCATGGTCACACTTCCAGTTCCATCACCAGTTCCATCATCAAATCAAATGATCCCAAACTCGATGAAAGCACTCGCCCAATCCACATCGATTCAATTCGATTTTATCCACAGGGAAGACCTGTGCCCAACTAGTGTAGATATTAAGAGGCCTGTTTTAAATACTTACAAAAACTACACGGCTGAATAAACTGAGCTCGGCCCTGCCGGTGCATCGCGTTTTGAAGTCATTTTGCACGTTTATAAATTTGTTTTTAAAAATAAAAAGTTTATAAAATTAATTCAAAAAGAAGATGAATGATAACGCAAACGACTTTGTGAGGTTGTTGATACGTCGCGGGTTATAAAGGACAATTGTTTTGACTATGAATCACGTACAAATAACCCGTTATTGAGTGGAACGCATGTGGTTTTCACGGTGTGTTGTCGTTTTAAGATCCCCGGCCGTTTAAATATACTTAGAAAGTAAACTCTATACATTTTGTAGCAATCCTGTTGCACAAACCAGATAAAATTTTGTTTTGATACTGTCAGACTGATTTTATTATTATATATATACCTATGTAATTAGGTAGAGTATGTATGTATAACTACAACTATATTTCTTTTAATTATAGTGATATAATGTAAATACAATACCAAATTATTTTTTTGTAGTTCAGTTTAAAGAGTGATATAAAAAAACGGCATCAATATCTTTGTAGTTGTGGTAAAAAAATAAATAAAAAAAGGACAAACCATTTTTTATTTATTAACCTATATTGATTCAAATCAATGGAAGGAAGCTTTTCTATTAAAAAGTCTTTTTAAAAGACGAAGAATATCCGTATTGGTATTATTATGCTAACCCTGTCCTCTTGATGGGTTTTTTGATCCGTCTTTTGATTTTATCTCGCGAATGTCAACTACGACGTTGCTGAAGATGATACTTAACAATTGTCTTTAATTGTAGTACGAAATCTGTGTTAAGTGTCGTCACTTGATGTAGAGGGAATATACAGCTCATATTGATACAGATCTCAATAAAGTCACGGAACAGTTGGGATTTTTTTAGGGCGAAGTCACGGGAAAAAGTCCCAGCTGTTTTTCTGTGACTTCGCCCTCGTAAATTATAACCTCTGTCTATTCGATGCGAACAATCAAATATTTTCTATTTAATTTATCAATACTGAAAACTGAAATCTATCTCCATGAGACGAAGATGGGCAAAATAACAGGTGCACATTGTTTTGTATAATATGCAAACTTAACTTTGAATAAATGACAATATTCCGCTCATCTAACAAAATGTTTTTTAAATCTTGAAAGGTTTTAAAAATCATTTAGTTAAGTTAATAGGTTATTTATTTATTTGTTAAACTTTGTTCAACATTAAAGAAATGGTACAAAAGGCGGGTTTAATGCTAATGGAATTCTTTCCCAGCCAACCTTTAGGATAAACGCGAAGGTTGCGTAAAGTAAAAATTAAAGTAAAATATTTGCATTCACAGTCCTCAACAATTCGATTCAATTCCCTATGGATAGACTTAGGGAAGACCAAGTAGTGATGACATTAAGATGTCTGTTTCAAATACAAAAAAACTCAATTTTCAAATCATTTTGCAATTATATAAAACGGTCATGGGTTTGAATCCCATATCAAAGCGTCAGAGATAAAGTGGACTTTTCAAGTAATTATTTCATTGAGTAAATAGGTTTTCAATTTCTTAGATATAATTTAGATATGCCGATGTTTTACAAAACAGAAATGAAAACATTTATTATTGAGTTTCTATTCATCATCACCATCATCATCAACCCTTTTACGTCCCCACTGCAGGAGCTCAGGCCTTCCTTATGGATGGTTAAGGAGGATTGGCCATGACCCTACACGCTGGCCCAACGCGGATTGGAGGGTATTAACGACTGCAAATCCAGCCGGGACCAACGATTTAACGTGCCTTCCGAAGCACGAAATAGCTCGAGATACTAATTTTTTTGGCACCCATCCCGTAACCGACTCTTGCGAAAGTTGCTTAACAACAACGATCGCGGGCCGCGGCGCTTAGAGTTTCTATACGCTTCTATTTAATTACTTTTGACTCGACAGCGGATGTGCTAATAAAAACAAAATTGTGGAATAATAAAAATCACGTATTTAATTTGTGGTGAGACATTAAAAGAATATGTTCGAGTCATGATCACGAGACATATCCTAGTTTATTTATAGGTAAATTTTGGGTATTTTCTAGATAGTAACGAATTCATGATGTATTTTGTATAAAAACTTGTTTTAAAGGTTAAATTTAATGAGATGATTTTCATTTGGCAAACTAGTATTGATTTTAGTTACTTTGTCAAATTGAGGTAAGCAGATCGAATGGTCGATTTGTTGAGTTAAATTTACATTAAATGAATTTTCAAACGAGATCTATGAGAATAATGTCCTTTATAAAATATATAATTTGAGTCAATATGGTTTTTCCGGGTGTCATTTGAATTAAATATTATATCAAAATTATACTAATCGTGTGTAAGAAATTTGCGAGACATTTAATTTATTGTATTGTTTTTTTGCTTAATAAATGGTTGATAGATGATACATAGATTGAATAAAAATATTTCTAACAATAAAATTTAAGTAAAAACAAAGTATTTCGTTAAATTTTATTGAGGTCCCGAGTTCGATTCTCCATAATACGGGGGCTTTAAGCTACTCATCTTAAAATCTGAGCAATGTATGTGATGTTTTTTTAATATTAATTTTCATGTCACATTTACTTTCACGTTAACACGTTAGTTTTATGATTGAGGGAATAAATGTATATTAAGTTAAATAATTTCATTTTACTACTTAGACATATTTTTATGTGTATAATATATATTCACCATTCTGTATTATTCGTTCTTCGTTACTAAAGCACATGTCAAAGTAGTAAAATAAAATGACGATGCTTTAACATCGCTAAGATATGGTATCCCATGGCTAGAGTTATAGCTAGAAGAGTAAGGCCTTAGGCCGTCGATCTGCTGGTCTTGCTGGTTGTGGTGCTTTTGTTTATCTTGATTAAATAAGGGATTTAGTTATTTATCTTGCGATTTGGGTAATACTTGTATTATTATCTAAATATTTCTCTGTTTATTAATTACTTACATCAGTAACATTGCTTCTGATGTAATGGCCACTGTGCACTAGGTTGTCTATGTTCTTGTACTGTCCCGCGAAGCTTAACTGCAGCGAGGCGAGGCAGTACTTGCCTCGGACAGCGCCATCTATGCTGAGGCACTCGTCAAAGTCACCGTACTGATTGCCGTTACCACTCAACACGCCGGCCGGCGGCTTAGCTGTCGCGTCGAACACTGAAAACAAATTAATTCGAATTATTTATCTATAGCCAAAGAAGTTCCGACTATTGTTTGAAAAAAAAAAGATGTTTTCAAAAGAATTATTCATGTTGTATTGGATAAGGGTGGAATAGGGATTATTGTTACCCATTTGCAATTTTATTATCATAATAGGAAAATTATATTAGAAAATGAGATATATAGATATTTTGCTTTAATTAAATAAGAAATGGCTTAGATAATGTGCATTAAAGTTGTTACGTGGTAGGGCTCACTACGTCACAACTATGTAGGAAATGTATAAAGGTGTGACATCCCTCATGCATTCGACGTTTCAACTCGATGTATCGCCATAATTTATCAGTAAGGAGAAAAACTACGTGTATTCGTCAAAAATCTATCTTTTCTATCATTCTTCAATAATAATCCAGACAACAGACAGAAAAAAAAATAGTCACCATGCCTATTTAGTACTGTTAGTAAATTTTTAGGACGTGAATATTGTTTTTAGGACGTGAATTAAGTATAAAGAACAAGTTAAATATTTTAATAAATATGGATATAAAATAAGTAACTAAATATTTTATTTCATTCAATCAATTCAATCAATGAAAATTGCATTGTCTTTAATGCTATTTTCATCGAACATGTACATTGATTGTTTTGTATAGGTATATGTATACCTTTACCTATAACGCGAAGAGCGAGAGCAACTTTCAAGGACGGTTATGTCAGCATATAGCATTCGGGAGATATTACATAACGATTAAGTTTAAGGTCAAGTTTGTGCAGACCAGTGCAATGATGCTAGGGTTGCCCGTTTTATTTTTCACAATACACATAATGTTTTTGTATTTTTTTTCAGTTGAGTTTTTTGAACACAACAAGATGAAGTGTTAAGAGACACATGAGGTGTGATTTTTAAAACACCAAACAAATAACATTTTTTCATTTACAAAAAAATAATTTAGAATAGTTTTGTAGGTTAATTATTAAAGTAAAATTTAGTACCTTTTTCTCGCGTCGATTACTGCAAAAACCCTATAAAATGACTAAATCGAGCTAGCAACCCTATCTTGAGCGTGCGCCTGTCAAACGTTGCAACTGCCCGGTGAATGCAGAATAAACCAAACCCAAGGATGACATTGACGTGTTCAGAATCAGCTGCGCGCGCACCATTCGCATGTTAAATTCGAATTGGCTGTTATACTTAGGCATGTATATGTGTTGACAGTTTTAAGTAATAGAGGATAACGTACAATTAATGCCGTTAGAATATTGCTTTCATTCACCGTTACGTTTTAATTCAAGTCCAGTATAAAAAAGAACATTTTTAAATAGGCATGGAAAAATGGATGAAACAATGATTGAGAGGTAGCAGGAATTTTAGTAATTTATTTAGAACTTATTGAGAATTGACATCTCTGTTACATACATGGAATAAAACAGAGAGCACCAAATGTTTTCTGAACCTACCAGCAGACTACAGTCCTAACAATCATAATTATTATTTTCTTGTTATTAATGAAAATAAAGAATGATTGAATGTTTATTGATTGTGCTCTAAGTTGCACACTTAGAGGTATATTAAATATACTATTATATATGTATATGTTTACTATAAATTTTGATTCAATAAAAATATAAAATCTTATAAGTTTTTCTTATTTGTCAATATTATAATAGCAAATTTCAAATTGAGCTTAATTATAATAAACAGATATTTTGGTAATATATTTTTATAAAAGTGAAATATATAGATTTCACTTGACTCAGCGGCTTCGCTGTGATAACGTAATAGACAAAGAAAGTTAGTTTATAATTAATATAATTTTTTGATTTGAATTTACCCTTTTCTTTGTGTTTTATTGTTACTTTATTAGTAAGCCGTTATTATTGTATATATTTAATGATGTTTTTGGATCTTAAAACAGGAGATTTTATTAACGAGTTGTTAATATTTTTCGAAATGTGCCTTCTGGAATTCTAGAAAGAAAAAACGTGATATGTTTGAGTTTATCACATGAATCATGAGTAGTATAGGATCAGGTTTCTAACAGGAAAATGTTAATTTTAATAATATTTAAGTGACAAATATGAGAAATATTTTTAAAGTTCCATTGGGAAAAGATATAGAATATGTGACTTATTTTAGTTTTCTTAGTCTGAGGAAAAAAATGTGTTTTTGTCGGGAATATGTATCTTTTATTTTTGTTTTTAATCGACTTCAAAAAATAAGGTTCTCAGTTTGACCTCTATGTATTTTTGAGCGCGATTATCTCGCGTTTCGTTGAACCGATTTTGATGCGGTTTACACCATAGTATTTGTTAGACTTAGGAGAAGGTTTTAGGTATATTATTAAAGGTGGTGTTAGTTTGCGATACCCGTACAAAGCGTTATGAAAGTAATCAATAAAACACAATACTCTCTTTTCTGAGCAGCGAAATAATAGAAGAGGGTAAATAAATTGAAAACTAAAATTTCTTTCTAAATTGGTCTTATGGGAATTCCAATATACATTGAAATAAGTCTTCCCCAAAGCCATAGGGAAATTCTTGGACTTATTGACTATTTATAAATTTCACCCTCTTAGCAATGATTTTAGAAAGAATTTCAATATTTCGCATCAAGGATTATATTCTATATTCGGTTAATCTCCACTATTATGGTCTGTGAATCTTAATTCATAAATAATAAAAGTGTTCGGTGAATTTAGCGCGAGAGCGAATAGTCATATAACAGAAAATTAGGCTGTATATGCTAAGATCCTTTTGTCTTAAAGTACCATTATCAATAAAAGAAAATACTAGTAATATCTCCCTCTAGGTCTGTGACTAGGAGTATTTATCTCACTAACTTTAGAATAATTATAGCAACAGTGGTACTGTTGCTATAATTATTCTAAAGTTTTACCTTATAAAATGATTTGTAGTCAGAAAGTGGCTCCATTAACGCGAAACGCTATCAGTGGTAAGTTAAAGCAAGTTCAGTGACACATTCTGATGTAATACAAATCTTCATGCGTAAGGTTAAATTTGAATGAATTTATTGTGAATAAAACAAAAGAAATACTTAGAAACTTCACAAAACAGAAAAACTGCAATTAATAATATTTTGTTAGTGCATAACGTGAAATGTTTTTTGTCATCATTAATAGAAAGTTATGTTTTAAATTAAACTGGTCTTATACTTAATGAAAAATGCTAAAAAAACACCAGCACCAGGTTTTCATTAAGAATATTTTCCAGAATGAAAAATTGATCAAATATAATAATAAACTATTCTTTTTTTTTACTGTAATTCATTTCTTAATAATTATAAATCTGAGTATTATAAAAAGTTCTAAAAATCATCGTATACGTTTGAAACACAAATTATATAAACAAAAATATTCTGACATATTACCAATAAAGGAATTTATTACGCTAAGAAGTATAACATTAATTAATGATTTATATAATTAAATAACACTTTTATTTGTTATATTTACTTAAAATATTTGAGATGGAATCAGTTAAACATTTAAGTTAATAATATTACATTATGCTGGTATAATTTCCGGAACTATTAACTATATATTTATGGGATAATATTATGTTGGTTGTGAATTTTTATTTGAAATATACACAATGGATACTAGTTCTATAATTTATTAAAGATAAAATAATTCTCTATTTATTAATTAGAAAAAGAAAACGTCTTTAACAATGAAAACTCGTTTAATGCGTTTAAGACATTTACAGAGGTAAAAGAATTTATAATCTTCAAAACATGCCAAGGAAACGCGAAGTATACAGCCATCGATCCATTGTTTAAACTTGTCAAGTGCGAGTGGAACTCGAACATAGAAATCTCCGTAAATCATTACTGAACTTCATAAACATACAACCACCGAATTATGATCTAACGAAATTATAAATCGGATTAAGAGACTAAATTAACTTTGGAGTTGGAAACTGATATTGACATATACCGTAGTCAGTTTACCAACTGCAGATAAGTACATATATTTTTTGCTATGTTACAAAAAATTTAAAAGTTTTCACCCATTATTTGGGCTATGAGATGCTGTGCTATAATCTTCTTGCCTTTTATTAATCTTGGTCAACGGGAACTTCATTTTGCTTGCTTTGCGAGTGATTATTATACGTCTATTTAACTACACCATGTTTTAAATGCATAACAAAAATACCCCTTTGTACCTGATATATTAATCAATAATGATTTTATAATACCAGTTTTCGTTGTTCGAATTTGTTGATGCTACTATTTTGCTTTAGTCGATTCTAAATGCATAGTCTTTTTTTATTTGTTTACTTAGGTACAAATATCCGTTGGAGTGACCGTCCACTCTAGCGGATATTTGTACGATAGAGGAAAAAATAATAATAATCTTTATTTTATTCCCTAAAATTTACAAATATAAACAAGGTTGAAGCTTCCTATTAAGTATGTTAAAGAATACCCGTGACAGGATGTTTCACTCCTCCAAAATGCAATTATACAAACCGAGAAACATAAACCCTCAGAAAAAACCTTTTTTCGTGTGTTCCTTATTTATCGGTTTTATTGCATACGACGAGGAAAACAATTTTTTTCTAAAATTTTATTTTACACCACACTACTCAAACTACGAATTCCAAAAAAATAATGAGGATTGTTAGTAAATAAAAAAAAAAAGATCACTATGTTCAAATCAAAATGTTGGTCATATAATAAGCTATTTTGTTAATGTTCCCCTACATAGTTATTTGTGACTTTGAATGAATAAAGCCATCAATATTTAAGGACCACTTTATTTTAAGTCAAAACTTATAAGTTCACAAACTTCACTATGTCATGGTTTCTGTAACCCAACCTAACTAGGTCGTTTATTGTTAAATTTATTTGTATGTAAACATTTTTTTAAAGTTTATTATCTTAAATAACTATATACTTAATTTCTTAAATGAATATTAATAAAATGATATTAATTAAAGTATTTTATTAACATTTTTATAATTATTTTAATATA